GAGGACTCAGAGGCTTCCAGTCTGAGGAAACAGGACCAGCTGAGGAACTGGTGAGGTGAGATAGCTGTGGCTTGTTCTGTCTCTCTGATCTACCAGCATGGACTCCAATAACTCACCTCAGGTTTGATTTTATTAATAAGAACTTTTAAGATTCCTGCCCATTATTTCTCTCACACACTCTCTCTCTCTCTCTCTCTCTCACACACACACACACACACACACACACACACACACACACACACACAAATCAAAACCCAAAACATTAAAGAAGGACTAGTCAAGAAGATGAAGGGGATTAAGAAGAGTGGGAATGGGACAAAAGAGAGTCCTTGGATGAATATGATTGATTGGAGGACATTATAGTCATGTATGAAACCACCACAATGAAACTCACTATCATGTATGTCCGATATATGCTAATAAAATATTTTAAAACGAAAAAAGAAAATATCCCTAATTGTAAACAAGAGGATTTATAATTAAAAGACTCTAAGCACTCTCCTGGAAAATGCTCAGATATGATAAGCACTTTCAGTAGATCAGTAGCTTTTCTATACACCAATAAGGTGCTGAGAAAAATCAGGGAAACAGTCTTATTTACAGCATTCTCAAAATAAATCAATAAGTAAGTAAAATATAATACCTAAGAATAACCCTAATCAAGGAAGTGAAGGACCTCTATTATGAAAACTCTGAAACAGTACTAGAAGAGCAAAGACATCCTATGCGCACGGATACTCAGAGCTCATCTGGAGAAGATGACTGTCTTACCAGAAGTGACCCACAGATTCAATGTGATCCAAATCACAAGTCCAGTGAAATTCTTCATGGAACTATAAAATTAATCCAAAAACTCATATGGAAACCCAGAGATCCTAAATAGCCATAACATCTTTGAGCAGAAGTAATAGTGCTGGGTTTCATAATCCCCTATTTTAAGTCATATTATAGAAAAATACTAACAAAACAGCACATGTTGATGCAAACACAGGCATGTAGATCAGTGGAATAGAATACCAGAAATAAACTCATGCAGGCACCCTATGTGACTTTTCATATAGGTGTCAAAAAACACAAGTTGGGCAAAAGACAGTCCCTCCAATAAGTGGTTCCTGGGGAAGTGGATTTCCACAGGCATAATGACAGTGGATCGATCCCTCTCCAGTGCTCTGTGCCAAAATAATTTAAAATACATTAAAGGCTTGAATGTAAAACCTGAGACTTTGAAATTGCTAGAGGAAAATATACATAAAACACTTCAAGATATAAGCATAGGTGTGGATGTGCTGGCGTGGACTCCAGCAGTACAGATAATTATCACAAGAATTGATAAGTGGGATTATGTGGAATTAAAAAGTTTCTTCACTGGGGGCTGGAGAGATGGCTCAGTGGTTAAGAGCACTGGCTACTCTTCCAGAAGACCTGGGTTTAATTCCTAGCACCCACATGGCAGCTCACAACTGTCTGTAACTCCAAGATCTGACACTCTCACACAGACACACATGCAGACAAAATACCAATGTACATAAAATAAAAATAAAATTTAGAAAAGGTTCTTCACAGTAAAAGATACACTCAACAAAGTAACAAGATAGCCTACAGGAAGAATAAACACTCTTTTCCAGGTAGGCATCTGACAAAGGATTAATACCTATTAAGAACCATATTATGTTAGAATTTACAAAGAACACAAAATTATACACAAAAAGATCAATCAAGAAATAATTACGTGAAATAAGCAATTCTCAAAAGAAGTACAAATGGCAATAAATACAAAATATTCAACATATGTAAAACTCAGATGTAAACTCAAAGGAGATGAAAACTATAATGATCTTGAACAAAAATAATAAAGCTGGAAGTAATAATTGACTACAAAGGCATATTACAGAACCATAGTAACAAAACAACATGGTACCAGCATAAAAACAAACACATAGACCACTGGAGCAGAACAGAGGTCTCAGGAATAAGTCCAGCCAACTGATTCGTAAGCAAGGTGTGCAAAACATACATCAGAGAAAAGGGAGGCTCTTCACAAAATAGATCTGTAAAAACTGAATACCTACATGTGAAAGACTGAAGCTAGACGCGTATCCTCACATATCAAAATCCATCCCAAATAGGTAAAAGACCAATACAACAAAACACCTCAAACTTTGAATCTATTTGAAGAAATCATAGGGGAAGAATTTTGAGATGTGGACACAGACAACAACTTCCTGGACATGATGCTAGTGCTCAAGAAATAAACATAAGTGTAAACAAATACTATTATATCCAATTAAAAAGATTTTGCACATCAAAAGAAATAGCCCAACGAAGAGACAACCAACAGAGTGGGAGCAAAATCTTTTCTAGCAGATGACAGATGGTTACTAATCCAGTTTATATGAAGCACTAGAAATCAACAACACACCAAGTAATTCAATATCAAAATTGACAAATTAGTTATTTCTCACAAAAACAAAAACCATGTAGCAGGACTCCTACCCCCACTGCTAGTGTGTGTGTGTGTGTGGGGGGGGACTATCTTGCCATGCTTGTCCTTGTTGAGATTTATATGATTTACAACTGGGTAGGACTGGTGATTGCTTTTCTCTCTTGGCAGCTTGCACAGCACCTTGAGAAACAATGTGTGTTAACTTCTACAACTGGTCAAAATGCAGAAAACAACTGATTGTGGGCTGTGCAAGTCCAGCTGATACATCTACAACAGTCCCTACATGTTGAGCTCAGGGGACATTGTGGACAAGGGGAAGAAGGGGACTGTACGAGCCAGAGACATGTGCTGTGAAGTCTGCTGGAGACTTTATCTTCTATATGTGACAGGGAACATCCATGACACCTCAACATCATAGTATCTTAAACAAAATCTGTACAGTGACAACACCAGTTAATGTGGGAATTGAACCCGGGTCCTCTGGAAGAGCAGCCAGTGCTCTTAACCACTGGGCCACTTCTCCAGCCCCTCTACAACACCAGTTAATATACCAACATGGATGGGGAAATCTCACGTGGCCCTACTCCTAGATGAAGAGCTACAGGCAATTAATGGGAGCTGGGAGAGGGAGAATCAGTCCTCTCCAGGGGTAATCCCCCAATAGGTTATTCAACCCCAAGCAGTCAGCTCTAACATATACACAAACATAAAAGTAACATAAAATGGACTCAGCAGGCTGTGTTTATATATATGTATGTATGTATGTATGTATGTATGTATGTATATACATATACATGTAGCACTAATTAAAGATAAAGAAATCAAGAAGGGGGAGATAGGGGAGGACTTGGAGGATGGGAAGGGAGAAGAAATGACATACAGTACTCATGTATGAAATTCTAAAAAAAATTAAAAAATTAAAAAGAACGACATGATCTTGTTTTCTAGAAAATGGGTGGATCATACTCACAAGAACAGATACAGAGTGTGTTCTCTCCAATGCTGAAAATATGGAGGAGATGATTATAGGAGAAATGAGAG